AAAAAGAAATATCAAATAATTAGAAGTAATATTCGGAGCATTTTCTATTGTTTCCCCCAAATCTGACAAGTTACAGAAGCTATACAATCTTTTTTCTATTTCTAGAAGAGGAGATGTACATTTTAGAATGCCTAGCACACAGAGGAATCTGCCTGAATGCAGTATCGAGGAAACAGGATATTTTTAAAACCTCTTTTTTTCTCTCCTCTAACAGTAGCCATACAGCACACAGCAGAAACTCATTAGAATGGCCTTGTATTTACTTCACATCATTTACTTCATTTTAATTACAATATATGATATTCTGGCTTTGCCGCCATCAATAGTGAATCTCTTCATACTTCACTCAAGTTTCATTTTATAGAGAAGAACAAACTAATACAAAAGAAATCTTGGCGTTGGATCAAATATGAAAAAAACAAAAGATAATTTTGGTTTACTGTGATACAGAGTGAGAGTATTATCAGTAGCACAATGCCTGTACAAACAAGCAACAGAAAGAAAATAAAAAACTTTTCAGACAGCTGTAAACACTTCTGTCAAGTGACAACTACAAACCTATCCATCTGTTACATAATGCCTAAACCTCTAAGTTTCATATTCACAATGAGTCAGTAAAAGAATTCAAGTTTTCTTGTCTTTGCTCTGGCTCAGTTAAGCTTCATGATTAGCAAAGGCAAGATATTCCATGAGACAAAACAAAACCACATTAAGAAACAATGTGGTTATTTAAGATTTAAATAATTCAACAAGCATTTAAATTTTAACCACAGTCATTACATGACTAACACCCTTCAGTCTCTTTTTGTATCATTGAAGCATACTAAAAGTGTCACCCCTATTTCTATGATCAAAACAATTCCACATTAAAAAGATGCTGTGTTCTTTTTATTAATTTCCTGCTTTATTACAACTTTCTTTATTTGAATGAGCAGCAATTCCTATCGAATGTTACCAAAAGGTATCATATTGTTGTCTTCTGTTTTCTAGGCAGTATTTCAGTTTAATTATAAAAAGCCTACTTTCTATACAAGATAACAGTACTGAATTGTGATTGTTCCTCCACAAAAATGTTACTACCTTTATGAAAAATACATGGCTAGATTTCAAATAGCTAACTTAAATTTTATCCCAACGAGCTAAGTATTACACGAGCAAACTTACTTCCTTAAATTCCGCCTTTAGGACAGCATGCCCTAAAGTGGTCTGCCATTGGAGCTTTCGACCACTGTGTTTTCCCAGGTAAAAGGTTTTAAATACCTCTTGAAGCTTTATCATCTGTAAAGCAAAGACAGAAAAATCTTTATTAGCTTTATACCAGTGCAATGATGCTGGATGATTTCACACATGTAATTTCTTTATTCTCCTCAACAGCATTTCACAGTAAGTGTCTTTGTCTGAAAAACTAAATCCAAAGAGCAAAATTCTGCTCTCAAGTACACTGCTACTATTATGCACAAAAGAAAGTCACAATTCAAAAATAGCTTTTAATTTTGCTTTTTAAATTTCCTTCTGTTTGTTTGTTTTAAATAAAAGTAAAATAACCTCCCATAAAGGGTTTTAAGCCTCAAAAATAAATACTAGTTTTGTCCTGGACTTTGAATCTGACCAAGAAGTCACAGGACAAAAAGCATACATTTTACCCCATCTGCTCTCAAGTTCTTCCTTTAGTTTCTCCTATACAGATTCAAGTCTGGTTCCAGTACTTCATACCCTCTTATTTCCAAGTAAGGGGGTTTCACCCCTCCATTTTCATGACGCATTGCTCAGGTTGGATTCTTCTGAAGCAGTCTGCTACTGAGGAAAAGACACCACAGGAGGAAGAGCACAAAAGCTTCCACATCTTCTGAACTGAACAGGAACCTTGCTACCACCTTTGGCCTCTGAAGTGCTTCCCACATTTCAGATCAAGCAAGGTATTGCAGGAAATTGGACTCCAAATACACATTTCAACTTAAATTGTTACTGATAGGAGCTTTGTAAAAAACCTCTGAACTCGAAGCAATCTTTTTTCAGGCAAATGCCATTTAAATGCAGGGGCTAGTTTTGTGAGACACGTTGCAGGGAACAGAGGAAGGACCTTACAGAAAAAAACTGCAGTAACCTAACTATTGGCTAGATCAAAATGCCTAAGCAATGTAGTTAATGATTGACTAAATTAAGGTGAACTGTCCAGTTTTAAACTTTTAAGTGCTTGACTGCAATGTTAAATAGGACACTGATTTTACTTTAATTAATTTTATTTAATTTACTTTATTATTATTATTGAAAAAAAGGTGAAAAAAACATACTAAGTTAAACCATCACCACAAAAAAGTGGATTTTATCCACTACATTTTATTTTGTGCAATTTCGTAATCTTTAAAATGAGATAATCCTCTTAAATATCTAGCAGAAAAAACATTAAATGAAGGCACTAGTTCACCCTATGATAGTGATTATGATTCCACTCCATAAAGTGCATTTAGAAGGAGAATTCAAACACTAACCTCTGGATTTAAGTGGACTTCCATAGGTGTATAAGTTGGCCAATACCCCATAGTTAATATATTTACTGTCAGGTCTATATTTCCTGGGTCACTTTGGTTCTGCATATACTAAAATACAAGAGGAAAAAAAAATCATTCAAGTATACTGTTTGCATGCTGATTTGGAAAAGATATATACTTAAATTAGAAATTTAAAGTTGGCAGAATAATGAAAAAATTCTGCAGGCCATATCCTTGGTTAAACATGCTCTACCAAGATTTTGAATTTCATGACTACTTATTGCTCCTGTCCCCAGTTTCAAAACACAGCAAGTGGTTGGAAGTAAAAAGAAAACTACAGTGTGCCTTGAAATATCCTAGACTGCTGTCTTTACAGGATATTAAGGTCAAAGGAACTTCAATCACACACAAATAAAGCAAAAGTAAAGCTTTTGATCAGAAGCCAGGGCAAGAACTCTAAGATCACAAGAATCCCCTGGGACTTCCACATGTCTGTAAGACAACACATTTTCTTGTTATTTGAGCACAGCATCAGACAAGCCAGGCTGCAAAGTCTGGGACAGAAAAGTCACTGGAGTATTTTATTCCGGGGTCAGACACCCCAGTATCGTGTCACCCAGGGATAAGTGCTACAACCGGGTAAGCATATACGGTATTTCCTCCAAGCATTCCCTTGGCTACCAACAGGTTGGAAGCTTTGGGACTGAGACATACATGGTTTCTGTGCACTTAGCAACCTTCAGGGAGTTTCTTTGGTGTGGGTCATTCACAAACAATTCATCAGAGCAGCAACAGCTTACAGAATAAAGGGGTATGGACTTTAAAGGATGTCAGACAGCTAAATTATTATGTGGTATTTAGACCACCGTAATTTACTTAAAAAGGAATCAAATAAAACTGTAAAATAAGATTATCTCTGAATAGATACACAATAAATAAATTCTGTTCTATAAATAGAACTATAAATAGACTCTTACTATGATCAGGACCTGCTCAAAAGCTGTTTTATTTTATTTTAGCTTAACCCAAGATATAACACCATTAAGTGCCTCCTCATCACTACTGAAAATTTAGCACACAAACAGAAGCTGAATGTACCTGCTTAAACTGAACCATGACATCTTTTGACAGTTCCATGTCCTTGAACATGCCCTCCAGTTTGCTGGTAAAAGCAGCGCCACATTCTGTCACACGAATTAAAGCAAAAATCCCACGATTACAAAGAAGCACAGAACAAGCAATAAAGGTTTAACCTGAGACAGCTGAGCCAGATTTGCCAGGTCCAGAGCACCCACAACTAGGTACATGTTTTAAGGGTTTTGCTCCTCTGTAGGTACATTAAGTGAACCAGTCCCACATCCAAGAGGTCAGCTCAGCAGTTCTCGCTGAGCACAATGAAAGCTGGGATATGCTCAGCTATTACTTAAAATCTGGCCTGTTGCTTCTTAAAGGATGAGAAAATAGGTATTCCAATTTACATGCCAAAAAGTAATAAAAATATAACACATCTCAATACACCTACCGTGTTTAAGCTTTGACAACATGGACTTCTCAGCATCTACTGATGCACTTTTTCCAACCAGCAGTCTTTTGGCCAAGTCTTTCTTATAAAACGCTTCAAACACATCTTTACCTGTATGGAAATTGAAACAAAAATAAAATACAACTGAAATCATACATTCTGTTTGCATCATTGCTCTTCAGGTTTGTGACACAAGCCCTTCTCATGACATGTTGATCAGCAGAACAATATTCACTGTGTAACAGTGAAGAAAAACACATAGACAACTTGTGCTTTTTATATGTTAAGAAAATAATTAAAATATTTTGCAAAATTTTTACTTCTTTTTTTTTTTCCCCAGGTATATAGGCTGCCTTGTATTTCCCACAGGGTCAGCTGCAAATCACATGAAATTATTCTGGTATCTAGAAGAACATTATCCTTCCTGCAGTCTGATTTACTAAAATGGGAAAGGGGAAAAGGGGGGGAGAGAAA